GCAAGTCCTTCCATTGTCCAGTCGCCCATTGTTGAACCGTTCATTGTTCAGCGAAATCCGTCCAAACCGTTTTACTGTAAACGAACCCCTTAATTTCCCTAGATGTTGAAGAAATCAGAGATTCCGAGAATCTTGGATCACAAGAAGAGGAAGAATCAAGCGCTCGTGGTTCGGCTATCCAGCTAATTAATCCATCGGCAGATGAAACACAATAACGAGTTGGCTTCGAGTAAAGTTTGGACAGTGAAGCTATGTTTTATGTTTTGTGCATTTGTACATTAACTAATTATGCATGCTAGAGTGGTTGCGTGGAAAATATCAATATGAGAATAAAGTCAAAGATAGACCGACCTGGACTCCCCTTGTGGCCTTTGTGGTCGAGTCGCATATCGTCGCATTATATTTTTGCTCTCGCAAGCATGTCTATTAGGAATTTGTTTTTTTTTGCCAACGGTCAACAGGTCCTTTTAGCTATATATAAACGCAGTCGTAACATTTTAGATTCGCGCGTACATCTAAAGGATTTAGTCAGAGGGGAGGGGTGGGAAAGAAGGAATTCTTTAAATTTATGCAAATCGCCAAATGGGTTTTTCAGCTGCCTTCGCATTTTGATAAGGCTTTGGAAATATGGGCCAAAAAACCAAAAACGTATATCACACAAAGGTAGCAACGTTTCGAAATAACAAGGGCTCTGACTAGTTAAAAAAAGCGTTTAATTTCACGATGAAAATGCAGTGTAAGAAAACTTCAGCAGCAATTCCGATTTTAATTTTGCCACGAATTTTTTGGATCTATTTGAATTTCCGTGCCTAAGAAAAACAAAAAGAAAGTGAGCTACTTGAAATCAGCATGCCTGCAGCATGTCGCCGAGTGTTCATACCATATGCAATAATAAAAAAAATAATAGTGATTTTAAAAAAATGTATTTAAGTACGATCACGTATTGAATAAGGGAAAAGGTAGACAAATGTTAGCTTTTCAATGCTTGCATAAAATATACCAAATTCATTACGAAAGCAATATTAAAGTAAACATATCAAACACGATAGACAACTTCTACGGAGCTCCTCTAGATTATCATTGCGCAAAAAAAAACAAACAAACAAACAAGAAAAAAGTTTTGCATTGATATTATGTCAGTCTATGTGTTTTCCTCTATTTTACATCATTTCCCAAACTTTTCGAAAATCCCTAAGGGAAGTCTGAAACAGCTCGTTGATGACAAATACATTTATTGTTAGCTTTTAGGTATTAACCTGTCAATATTTAGGAGACA